TAATCTGTGATAGATACTGAGTAGTGTAGCAGTGTGCCCTTGTTAACAAAATGATGGCTGCTTCTTGGCCTTTTTTGAAGTGTATGTGAAGAAAATTTAGATGAAGTTTTGAACGACTAGTAGATTTATACTATACTATATTCGCTCTCGATTTCTATGCGTGATAGTTGATGAAATCTCGAGCTCATAGTCTTATTGCTTAATAGAAACACAGCTTTGAACACGTGCTTTCTTACAGGGTGTTTGCTCATCATTCATGTATATACAAGCAAGTACAGTGCATACTTAAGCTACATAATATCAACAGATTTCTTACCAGAAGTCTTGCTTGTTCAGGGGTAAGCGTATCACCCTCTTTACATATTTGAAAATCACTTTCAAGAGTTATGATTCCTATAAATTAAATTGATCTTCATTAGATACATGCCAGGGAATGACCACACAACACTCAATGAGAAAGACTTACAATAGATATCTTGTCATCCATGCCAGATCGCTTGCAGATAGATATTGACTATTATCATTAAGCAACAAAAAAAATCAAAGTGGACATCAGTCATTTGCAAATGGAAAAGAAGATAAGGATAAACTTGGGTTGTATGTTCTTTGTACATCATGTTGTAATTTTGAATCAAGATTCAAGACAATTCTGCAGTGCAGCAAAACTCGACATTCTTTATTCGAGCGAGCGAGCCATCCCATACAACACTGATGCATATGCACACATGTAAAAGACCACTGACATGTGAACTATGACACATGCATTCTTTATGCAAGTACCTTTCTTAAGAGTTGTGTTGAGGCCTAGCTGCCTGAGCTGTGGTTCCATCGAGTGTTGAAACTGTTCTAGAGGACCTGAAAGTTAAATAGTTTTATTCAAACTTGCACATTATGCATCAGGGATATCACACTTCTGTGAGGAATAAAATGCAGAATGAGCACCTGCATCTATTGTGACATCACTTGTTGCTTCATTGCCTGATCTGGCATAGTCCAGCTCACTGTAATCTTTAAACCATCTGGAAAATATGAATGATTGACAGACTGATTGGTAAGGTCTGCATACGAGCCAAGTGGCCCATCAGGCCAGAGCTTATCCCAGTTTCTGTAGCATAAAATGACTTGGAGTATTTCTACTCCTTTTCTTTACCTGACAACATCATCTTTTGCCTGATTTGTAAACATCAATCCACATTGACCTTTTAGTTTCTAAAAAAAATTATTAAAGGTAAATCACTGTCATTCATCAACAACTGAGGTAACAACCAGTCAGTAGATAGATTGTAAGCATCACCTTTCCTTGATGCCTTACATGTGTATCTTATTTTATATGTCTTAATAATTCTTATTTATTAGTTTTTAATTCTTAGTCAGCAGGACCCTGTTGACAACAGCACTTTGTACTGAAAGGTTATCCTGGGTAAATATTCAATTATTATCGCTATCGTTATTGTTATCATTATTACTATAATTATTATTTTGTGCTTAATCCCATGAGAGAGGGTAGTAAAGGGTATTTTCATGATTCGTGAATGGCCTAATTTTTTTCCTGTGAAATGTGAAATGGTCTGATTTTTTTCGTGAATCATGATTTAATTAGAAGCAGTGAACTGTGATTTTGCAAAATAATTCTTTGTGAAATGAGAAAAAAGTATTTAATTCCAGTTCGTCGTGAACCATGATTCTGGCTGTGTCTTCTATTATTTTGGACAGTAACTAACACTATTGTGTGACCATAACAGGACAATCATCCCTCTTCGTGTTCTTGCTTGGATTTCTTTTTGTTGCACACAGAGCAAGAGGCAGATGAATGATAAAGGCATCTAACAAAGCTGTGCTTTGGGCGTAACTTTTCAAATGTCCTAAGTTACATAAGCTCATGTCAAAAAATTCCATTTTTTTTTCATGAAACATGAAATGCCAATTTTATTTCTCGTGAATTGTGAAAGAACCAATTCATTTTCTGTGAAACGTGATCTTGACCCCCCCTTTACCACCCTAATGAAAGAGGTGATGACAGTAACGATCATTACCTTACCTTTCCAGATTTAAAGCATCTACCACACAAGACTTCCATCAACACTAATGCCTATTTTTACCACAATTGCTACTAATCTCCAAATCTGATTCACTAATTTGCCGTTGTCGATAAGAGTCCAGACAACGCTGCTCGCATCAATGTGTTGCACAATGCCTTTTTCAGCTTGCACTATGAAAAAAAAACCACTTTCTTTGACATTGATATTGTGGTAAAAAACAAATCGAAATGTGGTTTAGCGTGGTCTGTACTCTTATCAACAA